CCGGTACTTGCCGAAACTGAGTAGTTAAGTCAGTATTTAAATATTACACAATGACTTTAGGAACATATTTATTTTATTAAGAACACAAGAACAAGTGTTTTGTCTTAACATCACGAGTTTTCTTTAAAATATTTTTAAACTACCATATTTTTCGCCCCATAAGTCGCGTTGCTTTGCATAATTTGCATGCCCTGTGACTTATAGGCCGAAGCGACATATTTATGGATTTTTTCCCATATTTATAAACCATTTTTTGGCTGAGATATGACCGTTTTCATTAATTCTGACAGAAAATAATGAACACTACCATTTTCAGCCACTAGATGGCACTGGAGTAGTAAGGCCGTACCATGTAATAGGTCAAAGTGGCTATTAATGACAAATTCAAAAAAGTTAAATACAAAAACAACTGGACTTTATTTATTATACTTTATACTTTACTGTTTTCGTCTTAAACTTTTTTGAATTTACCATGTCCTGGATGACTGATAATTTTCACCAGCTATTAATGACACAATCGGCCTGCCATAAAAAAAAAAATGGAAGTTGGTTCTGGGCTCCACGGCGGGGGACATAAAACAAGGGGATGGGAAGGAGGAGGAATGGAGGAGATCCTGCTGATAAACTCGAGTGAAACATAAATCACCCCAGCTGCATCATTACCATCTTTATCCGTTAATTTCATTTAAAGAGAACAAAGACGGAGGGAAAAAATGAATAAGCGCCCCAACCTGCAGACCACAAAAGTTTCATCTGAATAATTAACAAAAGCCAAACCAATTGTGTGAAACTGTGCTGCTTGTTTTAATAACTGAGTGTATTAATTATTTCTCTTTATACTTTTATAATTCATATTAGCATTAAATGGTCTCTGATACAAACATCACATGTTCTACGGACGGTTCATTTCATCCATGTACCAGCTGTGGTGGTATTTTCTGTGTGCAGATGTGCGTGCACTTCAACAAGGCATCTCATCTTGCCTTATTGCCTCTGTGGGAATAGCTTCTTTGAAATAATATGGACCAGAACAATTAGACTGGATGGCAATTATCCCTTGTTAGCATCCATTTGCATATATTTGCACGAACTGGGCGTGTTATACAGGAGGAGCATCCAGACACCAGATGTGTGAAAGGTGTGCCGAAGCGTTATCTGCAAACAAGTCCACTGAGGATGCACCGGGGACATCGTTTGAAGAAGCTGGAACTGAAATATTTAGATTAAATGCAAGCTTAAATTAGGACTGGTGGTTATTTAGTTAAATCTTCAGGATTTTAGAGCACTCGGGTGATGTTTTAAGAATTGGTCTGAGCTTCTGACACTAAACTTTAACTAAATGTGTAAGTTAATTCAGACGTTTTTGTGCACTGCTGCCTTTTTTATGCGCTCATTAGAACAAAGGTATAAAAGTGTCCCGCAGTCTGGTAACACATCTCTGTAGGCCTTAATGTGATCTCTGACTACTTGTACATATTAGCTTTAATATGTTAGTTCTCTATTCTACTAAAAGTTGTTCTTTGTGGCACGTGAAACTCCTAATAATAAAAAATATAAATATATATATGTTTGTTACATATTTCATCTAGGATGTCATCATTATTTTACTTCCACAAAACATTCTGGGGCGATGATGTCCATCAGTTGTAGTGGAGGTTAAAACACAAGGAGTGAAGGCTAAAAAGTTACATGTCAATAAAGTTAATATTTTCTATTAGTCCTTAAGCAAGCACAATACAGTAGTCCCTCATTACTTTGAGGCTCGTTTATCGCAGACTCGCTCTATCTCGGTTTTTCAAAATAAGACTGGACATGACGCACAACCGGCTGATTGACGGATGAGCCGCACAATCGGCGTGGAATTTTTATTTAAAGTAAACTATTTTAAATTATTTAACACCTGCTGCACCTTTGTGCAGCCCATACTGCAGGGTAAGCTGCCTGCTGCAGCTGATCAGCTGATCTCTTTGCAGAGCAGGGGAAGTGGGCGTGGCCAAGAGCACTTGCAGTTGGCTGGGAGCAGCGGAGGCAGGGAGCTGAAATCATGACATTCTGTGCTCTTTTAGAACTTTAGAGTTTAGAAACATTGCTTAGAATTTTGCAAGAGTGTGGGAAGGGTTTAAAATACCTTAATATATATAAATAATAAAATAAACTACTACGTACTACTTGTACTACTATTCCTAATTTGCAGTTTTTCACTTATCGGGGCTTCAGGGTACAGATCCCCCCACGATAAACTAGGGACTACTATATATGGGTTGAAACAATCAGACGTGATCAACTTGT